ATACTATAGACTTATTAAGTCGGTCCTTAATTACCTATATATAGCGGTTGCCGCCCTCTATAAGTAAGAAGTCCGTTATAAAGTCTATTTATATATATATATAGAACTAGTTAGGTACTAGAAGCTACTTAAGTAGCCCCTTAAGCTATGCCCTTTAGATCTTTATATAGCTATAGATATCGTAGTTATAGAGGAAGCGATAAATATAGTACTATAAGAGGGGCTAGTAAAAGTCCCTTATAAGGCCTACTACTATACCCTATCTGCCTAGGTAACTTATAATACTAGAGTTATAGATAAGTTAGACTAGCCTCCCTTAGAGCTCGTTTTATTTATCTAGCTCCGGCGGTCCCTCCTTCTCCTTAGATTCTATAGTATACGGTGCGCCCGGTACCTATAGTCTCCCCTACTAGTATAGATGCCCTCGTAGGTCGATATAGTAGTTAGCTACCTATACCTTTAGCTTTAGCTTTAGATCTAGGCGTCGAGCGCCGGACTTAATAGTATAGCGTACGCCCTCGTAGGTACGGTCTAAAGCCGCTATCCTATCCTATAAGCGTTAAAGGGCCTTATCTTAAAACACTCTCGCCGCGCGCGCCCTTAGGCCGGTCTATCCCTCCTCGCTAGACCGAGGTAAGGGCGTAGGGGGAAGCTTATTCGCTAGTACCGCGTCTCCCTCTACTAGGGAAGCTCCTATATAAGTCCGTAGTACTTCTTATAGGATAAGCTATAGATCCCGGGCCTCGATATTTACTCCTATTAGCCGGTCTTAATCCCTCTAGGAAAGCGCGTCTAGGACCGCGGAGTCCCGCTTAAGGCGGTACTTAATCGAGAAGTTAAAGCGTAAGAGATACTTTGCCTAGCGGGCTTACCGCTCTAAGAGGTACTAACGAGTTATAAAGTACTTAAGGTTCTTATAGTCTATAAGAACCTTAAAGCTCTTATAGCTTTAAAGCTCTACTTACTATTACTTAAGGTAGCTAATAATCGCTAGTATCTCCTTATTATAAATAGCGTAATTCCGCTTTACTAGGGTTAGCTTATAGGAGTAGAACGCTACCGGTTACTTCCGCCTATCTACCTCCTAGGAGAGCGTTCCTCTAAGTGCCTAGCCGCTATAGTCCGCTTTAACTAATATAGACCGGTCGAAGTCCTACTAGAGTAGTACTAGGGCTTAAGAGAATAAGTCCTTAAGCGTATAGAACGCTCCTTCTTATATAGGCCCTTAGCGAAAGGCAGTCTACTTCCCGGTAATCTCGTTTAAGGGTATTATAATATAAGAAAAGCCCTTAATAAATATCCTATAATAGTTCGCGAACCTAAGGAAGCTTTATACGCTTATCTATATAGTTAGGGTAGCTTAGTCCTAAATCGCTTAGATCTTTACGGGGTCTACTTATATACCTATGCCTATATAGATAATAAAGCCTAGGTACTTAACCCTCTTAACCCCGAATTCGTACTTATCTAAGTTAAGGTAGAGCCTATAAAGTTAGAGGCGCTCTAAGACCCTCCGTACTTTCTATATATAGTCCTTATAGGAGCCGCTTATATAGATAAGGATATTATCTATATATATAGAGGCGAACTTATCGAGGAAGTCTTAAAGTACGTTATTAATATAACGCTAGAAGGTAGCGGGCGCTCCTAAGAGGCTAAAGGGCGTTATAAGCTACTCGAATAAGCTATAGCGTATATAAAACACCGTTTTCTACTCGTTACCCTCTAAGATCTATACCTTATAAAACGCCTATTTTATATCTAGCTTTATAAACTACTTTGCCTTTAAAAGGTTATAGAGCGTATCCGAGATTAAGGGTAAGGGGTAGCGGTCTAGCCTCGTAATTACGTTTAGAGCCCTATAGTTATAATAGAACTATATCCCGCCCCTTAGTTTACGTACGAATAAGACTAGCGCTCTTACTTTAAAGCTACTTACTTAAATAAAACCCTTATCTAGGAGGTCCCTTAGCGTCTTCTTTAGTACTAATAGCTCCGCGTATAATATACTATATAGCGGTCTAAACGGTATAGGTAGTTCCTACCCCTTTTTATTAGTATAGAGTACGATCCTATAGTTTACCCTTAGCTTATATAGGTTAAGCTTATCCGCTTCCTAGGCCTTAAATAGTAGTAGGAGGTTATAAAAGCGCTTTAGTATCTATTACTATAGCTTAGAGGGCGACTTTAGCTTCTTTATCTAGAGGGCCTTATCGATATCTACTAGGCTAACTACGTAGACCGCTACGTTAGCCGCTACCTAGCCTTGCCCTTACTCTACCTATTATATAGTTCTTATAAAGATAGAGGTAAGGACTTCTTATACCGAGTATAATGCTTATATACTTAGTCCTACGCCTATAGAACTATCGTTATAGCGGACCTACCGTTATATAGGCCTAAACTATATCTTCCTTTAGTATAGAACTAAGTATAACTCTATATATAATAACTAGGGTTTCCTAAGGATTAAGGGAAACTCTAGTTAAGGGATTATATAGGCTATAGTAAGCTTATAGTAACCGTCGACCTCTATAGCTAGCTATATAATGCCCTTAATTACTATACCCTCTATCGCGCCTAAGGCGCCCTTTACTCGCCTTAGGGCGATCTTTTTTACTAGCACTTATATCTCTCGCGTAAGCGCCTCGTTAACTACGGCGTAGTACTAATAGCCCTCGTCTATAAGGGCGGCAACGGGTAAGGAGTTATTAATTATAACCTATATTAAAGTAGGCTTCTCTTCTATATAGGCGGATAATTCTTCCTTTTCCTCTACTAGTATTAGTAATTAGGGCTCCGGAGCCTATCTTTACTTTAAAGCTACTCTTTTTCCTCTAGGCCTAAGGGGGCGGAGTCCTCCTTATTATCTAAGGTAAGGAGCGGTTCTATCTTTACTACTTAAACTACTATAGGCCGCTTAGCTAAAAGGAAGGGGCATTTTAATATAAAGTATATAGATACTCTAAAACGTAGGTAGCGGCTATTAGCCTTCCTCTTCTTAATTTCCTCGCTCGTTACCTACTTCGCCCGCTACTTAGAGTACGGGGCGGTATAGGGGGTAGTCGACGGCGTCTTCTTACCGCGTCTAGCCCGGTCTATATAGGTAGCCGATATTAGGGTGTCCCTATCTATATCGATAGCCGGTTATTTATCTTATAGAGGGGTAGTAATCCCGTCGCCGCTATACGGCGTACGCTTATAGAGCTTCTAGAAACGCGGCGTCTACTTATAGCCTTAAGCTACCTTTATTAACTAGCTTATATACTCGCTATAGTTAGTAGGTATAATTATAAGGATAAGTAGCTCTTATAAGGCTAGCGTAATCGAATTCTATAGCTATATAAGCTTTACGCTATCTTCTTATACTATAGTCCCCGTTACTTATAAGAGCGTCTCTTCGAAATTAGGAAGGAATTCGCTAAAGGTTTATCCGTCTCTCTACTTAAGGGTCTATAGCCTATCTTACGCCTTCTCCCGCTCCTATACGTTGCCGAACGTATATATAAGGTATTAAAAGAAGTCTTATAGGTCGCGTCTACCTTTAGGGCCGCCCTTATCTTAGAATCCGGAGATCCGCCGTATCTAGGGCTCTAGTAGCGTATAGAGGAGCAAATACCACGCTATATCGCGATAGCTATTTAGGCCCTATTTCTCGTCGGTTATAAACTTCGTCTATAGCCGGCTAAGGAAGAAGTAAAGGACTCTAGCTTACCGTCCTAAGTTAGCTAAGGGAGCGGCTTCCTTATCGGTAGTATCGCCGCCGTAACTAGCGTTACGGAGGCCGTAGGGGTTAAAGCCGGCCTCGTAGACGGCTCCCTTAGTATAGCGAGAACCTCGTCCTTCTCGCTAGCTATCGCGCTTCTAATCGCTTCTAGGATAGCTACGATACTTCCTATCCGTCTAGGGAGGGGCGGAGTGCTTCTTCGAGGGGGAGGCGCCCTCTTTAGAGAGATATTTATTAGATCTATTAATTAATAGCTTATACTATCACGGAGTAGGCAAAGGCGTGCGTATAGGTGCCGTCCGTAGGATAATATTAATAAGCTATATAGAGCTCTCCTATACGCGGCTAGCCCGTATATATACGTATAGGATCCGGCCCTCTATACGTAACTATATAGCTTAGGCTATAGCCTAAGCCTATAACCTATAATAGTTAAAGACTCTTATAATATCTTTCTTTAAAGGATATATAATTTATATAATTAGTATATTTCTAGTAGTGCCCCTTAGTATAGCTAGGTTCCTTACCTTAATACTACGATTTTAAGCGTTATAACGGCGTTAATAGCTCGTAAATAGCTTTAAAGGTAATATCGGCGGGTAAAAGATAATCTAGCTATATAGGCCGGGCTTATAACTCTTAAGTAGGCGCTTAAGCGTATAGTAAAAGAAGTAGGGGCATAGAAAGGTAAATTTAGTAATATATATCTTAGTCTATTTATTAAGATAAGGGAGGGGCTTATATAGGTATAGTAATTATCTATAGCTAGCTAAAAGAGGGTATTAAGATATTCCTATACCTAAGTTAGGCCTATATAATATCCTTAGGCTAGGGGAGTTATATTAGTTAGGTAGGATTCCTTATATATAACTATTAGGTCTACTAGGTATAACTATTGCCTCTTATACCTACTCTCCTTAATAAGTACTAAGTTAATAAGATATTAGCTCGAACTTTAGAACTACTTAAAGTATATAACGAATTTACTTACTAAGATAGAAGCTTAAAATAGCTAGTTAAAATAATTATTATCTATATAAAGTTTAAAGGTAATTAATAATATAAGTAAGTATATTTTTACTAAGAATATAATAATATACTATTATAAAGGGACTTTACTTATAGCGATATAAAATTTATCTATCTATAGATAACCCTAGTTATAACGACTATACCTATAGCCTAGATTTATTAGTTATAATATCTATCTTAAAACTTAATTTTTATAGTACTTATGTCCGCTTAAACGTAACGTTCTTATTAATGCTTCCCTTTACCTTATACTACTAGATGTATCGTTTTTCTTCTTAGGTATTGGTGCGCCACCCTGTTGCGGCAAGCGAAAGTCTGACCAATAATCTAGGATATTAATAGACGTAACGCCCTTAGCATCAACCCTTGCCTGGCTCGGAATTGGCGTGCCCTCTTTGCCTGGTTGAGGGAACTTTTTGTCGAATTCTTTAAATGGTAGGCCCTTCGGGTTGTTGTTAAGATACTCGCCGCGGAGTTGGTCGAAACGTTTAAGGGTTTTGTCGATGTATTCAACGCTGCCGAGACCGTAGTGCTGCTCGCACTTATTGCAACCTAAGAAGTCGGATTGCAAAGTGGAGCTGTTGCTAAACAGACATTCTTTCTGAGCTGCAACATTCTCCTCAAATGGCTTCTGCTGGCAGAAGCCAAAAATCTCCTGCGCCGAAATGCAAGGATACTTCAGGACTTTGATAGGCTTCTCCGACGAGTCCTTCTGGAGGATTTGACCCCCGCTATTTTGGTAGCAGGCATCGCCGAACTTTTGTGGCACCTGGACTTTGGCAACATGGTCATCGGGCAAGGCGGGCAGGCGCTCGGGAACCAGTGGAAGGTCGGATGACTGCTGGGCCATGCTCCCCTGCAATATATGGAAGAAGCCGAAAATAAAATGCAACAAAATCATTGCACTGTCTGTGCTTTTAATATGAGGAAATTCTTTTTATGTCGCGCACGATCATATATATACCTATGCTAGGGGCGTAGGGGTAGGTGAATTCGGGCCTGCGTTTTATAGCTATATGTAAACTAGTCGTCGGAAGAATATTGTCCGTGAATGAGTAGTTTTCAGGGCGTTTATGACAGATCGTCTAGCCCTATTAAGCAAATAACACGCTTGTAAGGAGCCGAGTAACCTGTGTTAAGAACCATCCGGCAATCTGAAACAAAGCGCATGACGCAATACATGTAACGACGTGAGTCAAGGAGGCTGATCTTTCCATGTCATGTTATACACCTATGTTCCAAGAAGGGGGAAGTTCCACGTTTGATTCCATTTATATAGGCCCTGACTGGCTAGTTTACCAGTCTGACTATCTAGTACACTAAAAAGTGGGACAGTGTGGCTGGTCAAGGCGCAGCGGCGATACCGCATGCGCGCGTTCCCTGCGCCTACCTCGCGCCCTCCGCCTCAGAAAATTGCATCCTCGCTAACTTCGCTAATACGAAACTATTCGCATCGCGATTTTCGCTGTAAGCAGCCACCGCGATAGAGCCTCTATTTAACACGAGATCAGAGAAAACATCGAACGCAGCGAGTCTACGAGAGCGTCAGCGGAATCACCGCCGCTAAGAGGAAGCTGCAATAACGAGAGAGGGGTTACTATACCTTTAATGCCTCGGTGCCCCGTAGGTGCGAATAGCTTTACTTTCTATAGAAAAGAGCTCAAAGATATGCTAAAGAGTATTGCTATCTATATAAAGACACATCGCTATTCGTATAAAAGCCCTATTTTTAAGATACGTACTAACACCAGCCCGCCCCGCCTATTTATACCGCGCCCGCATCCCTTTAGCTGCGCGAAGACCGCACCAAGGTCACGGGCAGGGATGCTGGCCAATTAAGACGGCCCGCTATAAAGGGTATATAGTTTTACTAGCAAATAGAGCTATGATAGAAGTCCTAGCAACGCGGGCCTGTATAAATCGCTATATTGCACTGGTCACATCCCTTCCTTGTCTTCGTCGGCTGCTTGTTGCCGCTGGCAGTCCCCAGCGGCTTGCATTGACTCTGTGATCTTGGCTGCCCAGCTTTGAAGCCTTGGCAAGCAACGCAGGGCGAGCCTTTGGACCGTTGGACGTGTTTATGCTGTGAAATAGGTGTAAATGCGTCCCTAGCTCGAAACCGTTGTCTTGAGCCGCCTGCTTTTGAGGCTCTGGGGGAAAATCAGGCATAACTGTGCTGTCAGCTGCCTGCTCGCGCTGACGGTGGTCTAGCCGCACGAAGAGGGCTTTGTCGAAGCTATTTATAATAGCTTAGGAAGGCTTTGACGGCGGTAGGTCTTGTTGCGGCTCTATTAGGAATTGCGTAGAGCTTTGCAGTAGAAATTGGCTGCGTAAGGTTTTCCTTCTGCTGCAGCCAACATGGCCTGTATCTGCATTGTAGCTACGTACTATAGGGCCGTGACCTTGGTGCGGTCTTCGCGCAGCCAAAGGGAAAGGGCGTGGCTTGGCTATGGCACGCTGCAAGGAGCTTTGGTTCGATATGAAGCGAAATAGCTTGAAAGTCTGCGGCAGCTGCCTTGGCCGAGACAGGAAGAGGTCCCCTAACGAGCCCTACTTCTTTAGCGCTGCAAATAACCTTGACTTTAGGGAAGTCCCCGGCAACAGTTTGCTCGCGATTTCCGGGTACGCCGCTCATGCCTGTTAGCCTGGCTGCATAACCTACAACGTCACCACCCGGGCTATCGCGATATCGTTGTGACCCAGAATCGTCTGCAACGGCTTCCTCTTAACGGAGGCATAGTTGCTTCCATTGCCAGCCAAGTAGCTGACATACCTGACTGCGAGGTCCCCCAAGGTCCCGTCGAGGAGGTTGTAGAAGAGGATCCTAGCGATCCCGGCGCATCAGCGATCCCGACTTTGCAGGTCACTGATACCGAATTGAACGCTCTGCAGTCTCGATTTCTTCAAGAGACCCCTAACCCCGAGCGTATGACTGATCTGGGATAGGGCTCATTTCCCCTGTGTGACATCCCAGGTCTGGACGAACCTCAAGACCACCTACTTCTATTCTCCGATACAGAAAAATGTAGATCGATTCTGTATACACCATTTAGTATTGCTGCAACGTCTAATAATATTTTCAATGGTTGTGTTGGTTGCAGGATTAATTTTTGCTATGGCTTGCCGGTCGGACAATCCGTTGCATGACATGGTGCATGACGCGGTGAGGTTCGTTATCGGTCAGTCCCGACAATAGTCTACTACGTGAAAGAATGACTAATTCATACAGGAAGCCGGAATGATAAATGATACAAAGAAAGGTGCTCTGGAGGAGAGTGTCAAGCGTATTTATAGTATATACTCATGGGAAAGCTAGTTGATCTAAACTTTCTGCTTGCCTTGCATCCTACTCGCAATAAGGCGCAGAATCCTGGTCGGCGGCTTTAGACTCAACCTAGTTCGTAGCCGAGTTGGCCTTGGGACTTCAGCCGCCACCAACATTGCCGTTACCGCTAAGCCGATTGTCGATGGCGGCCGTGAAAGCGGGTCTAATGTGGGTTTCGACGTATTCCTTGCCGTCACCAATAGCAGCGGGGCTGACAGGAGTAAAGCTGCTCATAGTCTCGGGCAAGTAAGAGCAACTATCGAGGTTAACGGCGCCGAGGCTATTTAGAGTAACCTCTACCAGGGAATCACCCTAGAGCTCGGACGCCTTCTAATAAGTCTCGGGAAGAACCCTCTAGCTGATCGGCTTAAGCTTAACAGCGTTGTTAGAGGCTTCTAGGCTCTTCTGCAGACTGGCGTGGGACTGGCCGGGAGCTGCGCAAGTGACATAGATCTAGAGTTCGCATGCCACCTCTATGGTGACGATAGCGGTCTCGTTGGCCGAGTTAGAGGCATTGACGGCGACCTTGACCTCGCTATTGCCGGACGAGAATCCGCCTCGGTAAGAGAGCTTCACGGTGGTCGTTTCAAACTTATGCTCCTCGACTTCCTGGGGGGCCTTACGCTCCTCCGTGCCGTTCTTAGGGAAGAGAGCAGGGGGGGTAGCGGGAGCAGAAGTGGTGGCGGCGGGAGCAGCCTTAGGCGAACTAGCCTACTGCGGTAGTTAGGGCGCGGGGCAATAGCTAAGAATGTTTATGTCTATAACGCCTTTTTCGTCGATGTTGGCCGTGTTAGGGACCTAGGCGGGCTTGATGCTTTTGCGGAGCCTGGCAGCTACTTCGGCGAAGGGGCGGCCCTTAGGGTTATTGTTAACAAACTAGTCCTTAAGGTCGTTTAAGTACTTTTCGGCGTCGGCTAGGGTGCCCCCGCGACCGTTACCGTTAAGGTTTCGATAGGCGATATAGCACTTATAGTTAGACTCGTACGTAGAGTCGGTGTTAAAAAGGCAACTCTTTATGCCCTCGATATTATTAGAGAACTACGAATAAAAAAACATTATCACGTCTTATCGGCTAACTTTTCGAACTAAGCCTAAAACACGAAAAAAGCATAGGCCTAGAACCCTCGCGAATAGCGTATTACGCCCACCTAAGTATAGCCTCGCGCAGCTACTAGCGGGTGCGTAATATACTACCGAAGTTTATAACTTAGGCTAGGTTTTCCCTTATATAGGTAGAAAACTCTTCCCTGCCCTCGCTAACTAAGGGTATTATTAAGATAAGGGCCTATAATACGCGTTAGTAATACCTCTATTAAGGGTGCCCTTATTTTATATAGTATAGCGGTATTTTACTAGCTTAATAGTTATAAGTATAAGAGTCTTTAACTATTATAGGTTATAGGCTTAGGCTATAGCCTAAGCTATATAGTTATATATAGAGGGCCGGATCCCGTACGTATATATACGGGCTAGCCGCGTATAGGAGAGCTCTATATAGCTTATTAATATTATCCTACGAACGGTACCTACGCGTATGCCTTTGCCTACTCCGTGATAGTATAAGCTATTAATTAATAGATCTAATAGATATCTCTTTAAAGAGGGCGCCTCCCCCTTAAGGAAGCACTCCGCCCCTCCCTAGACGGATAGGAAGTATCGTAGCTATCCTAGAAGCGATTAAAAGCGCGATGGCTAGCGAGAAGGACGAGGTTCTTACTATACTAAGGGAGCCGTCTATAAGACTAGCTTTAACCCCTATAACCTCTATAACGCCGGTTATAGCGGCGATACTATTAATAAGGAAGCCGCTCCCTTAGCCGACTTAGGACGGTAAGCTAGAGTCTTTTTACTTCTTCCTTAGCTAGCTATAGACGAAGTTTATAACTAACGAGAAATAGGGCCTAAATAGCTATTACGATATAGCGTAGTATTTACTCCTCTATACGCTACTAGAGCCCTAGATATAGCGGATCTCTAGATTCTAAGATAAGGGCGGCCTAAGGGGTAGACGCGACCTATAAGACTTCTTTTAATACCTTATATATACGTTCGGCAACGTATAGGAGCGGGAGAAAGCGTAAGATAGGCTATAGACCCTTAAGTAAAGAGACGGATAAACCTTTAGCGAATTCCTTCTTAATTTTAAAGAGACGCTCTTATAGGTAGCGGGGACTATAGTATAGGAAGATAGCGCGAAGCTTATATAGCTATAGAATTCGATTATACTAGCCTTATAAGAGCTACTTATCCTTATAATTATACCTACTAACTATAGCGAGTATATAAGCTAGTTAATAAAGGTAGCTTAGGGCTATAAGTAGACGCTACGTTTCTAGAAGCTCTATAAGCGCACGTTATATAGTAGCGATAGGATTACTACCTCTTTATAAGATAAATAACCGGCTATTAATATAGATAGGGATACCCTAATATCGGCTACCTATATAGACTAGGCTAGACGCGGTAAGAAGACGCTATTAACTACCCCCTATACCGCCCTATACTCTAAGTAGCGGGCGAAGTAG